TTTCAGCATCTCTTCTTCTTCTCCTCTTCTCTGCTACTTCAACTACAGTGGTTCAGCTTTCAATAGTATATGTGGACGACATTGTAGTCACAAGAAATGACCTAAGTGAGATTGATACATTGAAGAAAAACTTACATCGAGAGTTTGAGATTAAGGATCTCGGGAGCTGAAATATTTTCTGGGCATCGAGGTGGTAAGGTCTAAACATGGGAGCTTCATTTCCTAGAGGAAGTATGTGTTGGACCTACTATAGGGGACATGAAAACTTGGGGTTAAACCAATTGATACACCCATTGACCAAAATCACAAAATTAATGCTATAGACGGTGAGCTAGTAAAGGATGTTGGGAGGTATTAGAGATTAGTGGGCCAGTTGTTATACTTGTGCATGACAAGACTAGATATCTCCTATGCAGTTAGTGTGGTGGACCAGTACACGCATGTCCCGTGAGTTCAACACTACAAAGCCACTGACAGGATTCTTGCCTATCTGAAAAGGACATCCAAGCAGAGGGATATTGTTTGCTGACCATGGACATTTGAAGCTAGAAGCTTACACAAATGCTAATTGGGTAGGGTGCTTAGACGACTGGAAATCTACATCAGGAGTGTGCACTTTTGTTGGAGGTAATCTGATTTCGTTGAAGAGTAAGAAGCAACCATTTGTAGCCAGGTCAAGTGTAGAAGCTGAATATAGAGCCATAGTACATGGTGTTTCAAAGCTTTTCTAGGTTTGGTCCTTATTAGGAGAGATTGGAATTGATGCAGAAGAACCTATGATGTTGTAGAGTGATAATCAAGTAGCAACTTACATTGCTTATGATCTAGTTCAGCAGGATAGAACAAAACATATAGAGGTGGACAGACATTTCATAAGAGGAAGGGTGACATCTGGAGAAGTGTGCCTACCATATGTTGCATCTAATTTACAACTAGCTAATGTTCTCACAAAAGGAGTTACAAGAAATAAACTTGAATATGATCTATGCAAGTTGGAAATGTGTGACATCTACTCCCAACTCAAGGGGGAGTTAGATTCAACAGTTTCTTGTGATTTTCTTGTTTATAATCATTAGTTAATGTTATTGGGTCATTAGTTAGTGTTATTGGGCCCAAGGCCCATTAGATTATGTTTTTTTTTTTGAGCTGTGTTTATGTTATGAACAGTAGCCGTCCTATTAAGGGTGTATAGTCTTTGTAATCAATCTTTTTTATGAGTATATAAGATAATCATTGGGGCAGCTAGATCATTATTGGCTTCTTCTCATCTCTTCTCTCTCTTCTCTTCTCACTAAGAACTCTCTCTCTCTCTTCTTTCTCACTGTTATCAAATCAGATTATTGTTTTCTTTTCTACTAAGGCCCTAAGATCTATATTGGGAGGCTATGATCAAGATAGTTTGCTATTTAAAGGGTTCTCTTGGTTTGTCCCTATTCTTTTCTCTTCTATCATCTCTTATTTCTCACTATTCTCGAAAAGAGAAATTATTCTCTTTAGCTTCTATAGCATATTACTGTTTCCCTGTGATGCAGGATACACACTGAACCAGCATTTGAAAGCTTGAATTCTATCTGTGCAACTATAAAAATGCAAAAGGGAAGAGAGAGTTTCAAGATTGTTACCATTTCTTTACATGAGGAGTTATCACCCAGCAGCCTGAAATCAATAAAACAATATGATTTATTGGTGAATCCTCATAACCTTATAACTAATGAATAAAGAAAGACCAAAGAAAATTAATAAACTTTTTAACCAACAATCGGTCTAAGGAGTGGGCAGACCAGATTTTGCTCATGGATCACCCCTTCCATTTTAGCCTGGAGCTCAAATAAAAAAGATGGAAGGTGGAGTTTAAAATGTGATACAGTTAAGTGTGAATTTCTTGAATTTGTGTGATGCCATTGAGATAACAAAGGTCATCTTGTCGACTTGGGAGGATTAAACTGGACCATTCACCAAGCAGGCTACCTAAGATCCAAGTTCCGAAATATGGTTTCTACATGTCTAGCATGATATTTCAACATAATGACATAACACAAGTAAAATCCATGGTTCTAAGTTTTCCTTTATATTTTGGGAAAAAGACTTAAAGATACCCTGAAGTTTCAAAAATTGACTTAAGCATACCCTCAGTTCTTCAAATGGACTTAAATATACACTGTGGGATGACCCCACTGGACTTGAAGCATACCCTCCATTGGTAAAATGTTAAAAACTGTTAACATGTGACCAATTTAAATTTTTAAAAGCCATATTTTTCCCTTTGAAATACTTCAAAGTGATATAGTGCTCCCACATTTTGCTCTGTTTTCTGCAACCTGTGTCTTTGACCTGAGTGATGTCTCAGCTTAAAAAGGGTGTGGGTCGTTGTACTTGCCTTAGTATGTCACTAACAAATCAAATGGTGTATCCCACAATTCAAACATTAAACCTAATATAACTATTGAAAACTTAGAAGAAAACAATTCAATCTGCTGTCTTTTTTAGAAAAGGATCTGTTTTTTTTCACATTTTAATTTCTTTTCGCCAATAGAATAACAAATGCAAAATGGGATTACCAAATCCAACTACACAAGCAAGGAAGAAAGAGATGTTAGTCTTAGGAGTCAGATTAGAATAAGAACCAGAATAACAAAGGGTGTAGGTGATTGGCATTTTCAATAAGATTCTTATTAGGAGTCAGCCATTTCCAGAAAGACATTAGGAGTTACAGCCAAACTCCCAATAAGACATTAAATGGTTAAAGGCTCAAACTAACATTGTCTGAGTAGAATCAAAATGATGTTCTCTCTCCGAGTAATTTCTCTCTGGTGCTTGGCATTGCAAGAAAGAATCATAGGCTCTCACAATCAACTAACATGAGAGCCCAAACCGTCCAAGTATTTTTCTCTATGGTTCTTTTTGAAAATTTGAAGGATAATGAAGGGTAAAAGAGTATTTCAATTGATTCCCTCAAATCTAACTAACACAAGGTATGTTTTAAGTCCATTTTTAAAACTCAAGGTATGTTTAAGTCTTTCACCCTTTCTTTTTTTGATAATTATTATTAAGATATTTTGTCCTTGACAAAGTATATTGATTGAAGAGAACAATAAAAACACCACAAGTTCATTGAAGATTAAAAGGAACCATTGATTCCTAGATATCCTTAAATGAGATAACATGCACAAAGTGCTTCTTGTTTGCACAAGATGCAAGGAAATGAGAAGCATTTTCATGGATAATTAATAGTATAATAATAATGGCAATAAAAACTGTGAGCATAAACTATAACATATATAAATAAAATGACAAACTTGCCTGTGTCGACTTCATCACCTCCCAAGTGAACAAATCTAAAGTTGAAAGTTTTTTTGAAATCTGAAACACAGAATGTACATTGATTATTTTGCTGCAAAGTCTTATGGAACAGACTCCCACAAAAGAATTGCAATATCACCTGAAAGAATCCCATCTATAACTCTGAAAGTGAACTCATTACTGACATCAAGAGGCTCCTGACAATCAGGTGATGGCCACAGAGAAGGGTAGCCTTTTCCCCTGTAAAATGAAAATTGTTAGTTTCTGAGGATGTTTTAGTTCAGAGGTATCAAAGGGAATTTCTTGTATTCTAAAATAGTTGAAGACCCAATAACATGAATAAGAAGTTTCCAAACACCCTAGTGTGCTTTGCATGTATGGATTCTGAAGATGAAGGGGTCACCTAAACATTTTGTGATGTTATGGCATGTGCAATCCAAGCAGATTATATGGTACAAACCAAGACAAATATATCATGGTAAATATCCAAATGCAATTAAAAGAGCGCCTTCAGGTATATTGAGGTAAAGAACCATAAAAAATTTGCAAACGTTAAAGCATCAGGTTCTAAGAAGCCAATTGACTGTAGCATGTGATCACATAATCACCCAATCAAACTAAAAAAAGTTGTAGAAATAATGGTACTCTCACTAGAATCTCGACTCACAGCTCTGAATCCACAATTTGGGTTTTGCTTTAAATTATTGTCCATAATGACAACAGAACCCACAATTCTACTGAATTCTGCTCTCATGTCAGCTGAAACCTTGCTTATGTGCATTCTATGCTTAAAGAATGAGAATTTTTAGATCTAATATGATCCCCCTACAATCAAAAAGATGACAAATCATGTCCTGGTGTATGAGAGCAGCAACCATATGGAGCGTATGGAGTGAGAAATGCTAGAATCTTTAAGAATAAGGAACAAGAAGTTAACATTTTCATAAATTTAAAGGTGGTTCATTGGATTCCTAGAGAAGAATGGTTGCTGGTTACATTACCAGAAAAGAATTTCTCTCCCTCCAAATGGACAACAGGAGTGACAAAGAAATTGTGTTCCACAAGATCCTACCCTTTTTGCTCAAACCTTCAACTTTCCAGCTCTCAAGAAGAGACTTGATAGAGTTAGGCATGCAAAAAGAATAGTGAATGGCCTTAACAAAGTGACTCCAGATTCTTGAAGAGAATTCACAGTGGAGAAACAGGTGACTGGAAGTCTCTTCTCCCTCACCACACAAGACACAAGAGGCATCTGGAAGCACCATCCCTTTTTGAATCAGCAGAGTCTTTGTCAAGCACTTATCTCCAACCACTATCCATGTAAAAAACTTCACTTTAGAGGGGACCAGACCACCCCAAACTAGATAACTAGGGAAAGCGTCTGGATTGGCAGGCTCCATGCTAGAGAAAAAGGACTTCACTGAGAACAATTCAGATTTGGACCAACGCCAACAGCGCTGATCTGGGGCATGGGGGTTTAACCTTATGTCTTGCAGCTTTGCAAACATCTCTGCCACCTGAGGAACCTCCCAATCATTAAAGTCTCTCCAGAAAGAGGGAGTCTAGACAAGAGAATCACCTGAAGCACTACAGCACTCAGCTACCTTGACATCCTTATCAGCAGCCAAGAGAAATAATTCTGGAAACAAATCTTTCAAAGGGCAATCTGAGCACCAGCTGTCATGCCAAAAATTCGGCCTTGCACCATTCCCATCCTTACACTTAATTCCTTTCATAAAATGAGGATAGGCCTTATAGATCCCCTTCCACACCCCACAACCGTAAGAGAGGGTAGACTCAGCTGCATCCCATCCATTAGCGTGAATACCATACTTCTGCGCTATAACTTGCCTCCAAAGCTCATTGGGCTCTTTTAGGAACCTCCAGAATCATTTACCAAGAAGAGCTAGATTGAAGTGTTTCAATTTTCTGATTCCCAGACCACCGTCTTTGAAGGGCTTGCAAATCTGGTCCCAATTGGCCAAGTGGATCTTTTTAGGCCCCGTTTGTTTGCAGGTAAATATGCATGGGAAAGTTGGTCAATGGGTAACTTTTTCCCATTAACTAACTTTCCCATGTTCTTTTTCCCATTAAGCAATGGGCCCCACAGTAAAGTTACTCCTACTTTCCTAGGTAAAACTTACCCATCTCCCAGGTGGGTAAGTAACTTTCCCACCTGGGAGAAACTTTTACAAAACATGATGGGACCATTTTGCCCATTTTAATGCTTACTTTTGTGGGTAGAAATGTCATTTTATTATTTACCTGGGAATCCAGAAAATCAGAAGAACATGGGTAAGTAACTTACCCAGGTAAATGTTACCCAGGAAACATTTACCTAGGTAATTGCACTTACCCAGGTAAGCTGCACTGTTACAAATAAACAAGGCCTTAGAGTCTTTCCAACCCACCCAAAGGAAGTCTCTCATAATTCTCTCCAACTTCAAAGCTATCTCTAAGGGAATTGGAAACAAAGACATATAATAAACAGGGAAACTGGCCAACACACTCCTTAGAAGAGTTAGCTTACCCCCTTTAGACAAGTACCTTGCCTTACAAGTCATTATCTCACCACCGAAGAGCAGATACTTTTAGAAGTGCAGTTAGCCCCCAAAGGCAGCCCCAAATAGAAACAAGGAAGAGCACCTACCTTACACCCCAACAAGTCTGCCAAGGATTGCAAGTTTGAAACCACCGCCAACAGCCATCATCTCACTCTTTGCCAAATTGATCTTTAGCCCTGATACCACTTTGAACCAGAATAGAATGTACCTCAAAAGGATTGCTTGTTCTGCCTTAGCACTGCAGAAAAATAGTGTATCATCCGCAAATTGAAGTAGGGGAATTTCTACCCCATTGTTAGCTATTTGAAATCCTTCTAGGCAGCCACCTTCCACAGCTCTATCAATCATCTTACTCAGCCTTTCCATGAAAATGAGGAATAGGAGGGGGGAAATGGGATCTTCTTGCCTAAGACCTCTAAAACTTTTAAAATTACCTTTTGCAGGCTACATAAGAAATAAAATTCCTTGCTTCATTCATTGATCCAAAAAAAGAGAATAAACCAACAACAACGGCACAAGCATTATCTGCTACCCACCAAATATAGTCAGTATTTTAAAAGGTGTGGGAGGTGTACGCTTGGAGGCATGCCTCTAGGCCACATGCCCCCAAAACGCCTTGAGGTGTATGCCAGAGGCGCTGACACCTCTGAGGCGTATGCCTAAGGTGCAAGAGGTGTACACTTCATATGCTTTTTCCATGAGGTGTGCATGCGCTTCATGCACACCTCATGTAAAAGGACAGAAAAAAAAAGAAAAAATAATGAAAAAAGAAAAAAAAAGGAAAGGAAAAGAAAGGGAAAGGTAAGAAAAAGAAAGAAAGAGAAGGAAAAAAAGAAGAGAAAAAGATAGAAAAGAAGAGGAAAGGGAAGGGAAGAAAAGGGGAAAGAAAGTGGGATTTTTCTTAATATAAAAGATTTTATATTAAAAATAAAGATTTTTATTTATTTTTAACTAGTGTTATGCATCTTCATTTTTCTTATTATAAAAGATTTTTCTTAAAAATAAACAAAATTGAGAATTTTCTTCTTCTTCCTCCTCATCCCCCCTCCTCTTAAGGAGGCTTACACCTCCTTGTGTTCGGGAGGCTTACACCTCTAGGTAGTGGAACACCTCACATCACGCCTCCGCATTTTAAAACATTGGATATAGCAAGGACATAGCTGGACAAAGGCTCTGGTATACAATTTACCTAAAAACTACAAGTATCCAAAACCATATCAGTATCAAAACAACCTTATAAAAATTCTGTTTCTTTTTTACACTTCCATGTATTTTTCCCATTTTCCTTCATTTACTTTGTTAATATTAAACTGGTAACTAGAACTCAAAATCTATATTAGTTCTACATTGACCATCCTACAACACTTCTGGGATTATATGATAAGTAGAACATCCCTTTCTTTTACCTTCTGAAAAAAAATAAAGATACATGTGGTAAACTTGAAACCAACATCCATAATTTAAAATGGACAGAAAATATAATATCAAATATATGTGTTAAATGACCATTAATAATTTAAAATAAAAAAAAAAGCTAAGATTAGAACTACCATGAGAGAGCATGCCCTGGTACATCAATTTCAGCCAAAACATTGACTCCTCTTCTTTGAGCATAACTGCAGAACTAGTGATCAAGATATCAGAAGGGAATATGAATAAGGAACACTACAAGGTGCCAAACAATATATACAAGAAGGAAGACCCTCACCGTACAATTTCAGCTGCATCATCCATAGTGTATCGCTCAGAAGTAGAATATGCACCATTCCACAATTTTGGATATGATGGTATTTCCAAGGGGAAAGATTGTGAATCTACAATATGCCAATGTAGTACATTCTGTATAAAAACAAATCAAAAGGCAAAGGTAGTTCAATGTACCAAAATATTCTCTGAAGGTAAAACCAGTTCAGCATTTTTCTAGAAATAAGTCTATGTGAACAATAATGATAGTATGCAATCAGTACAAGAATAAATCCAATCGACTGCAAAAATAGTCTGATAATCCATAGGTAAAGGAAAAATGGAACAACTCTAACAACCTAAAAGAATAACTAAGGTTCTGAATCTGCAATATGCAGAAGCATAAGTGCCCCTTAAGAATTAGAGGAGTATCGGAATCCTAAGTGTGTCTAACAATACACTTAATCCATTACTACAGTTCCTGTAACACTAGAATGGATGATAAAGTATGTTTTAGATAACTCCTAGAAGACAGTTCAGTTTTCTAATAAAGTTTTTACTAAATAAGGGAGTCTTTCACTTCTTAGTGTAGTTCATGTACTTAAGTAAACTACTCAATATATAAGTAGTGAGACGCATTGGGGAGACATTTTTTTCTGCTCTCACACAATCCCCCCTTTCTTCTTTCTTAGAATTTCCCTCTTCTCCTCTTTATAAATTGTTTTTTTCTTCATTCTCTTACTTTTTACTTCTGTTTTCAGGTCAGATTATCTCAGCACATGATATCAGAGAAAGGTTGATCTCCCTCCCTACACAATGAGTGAGATAGAACTTATATTCTTCAGACATACCGTTTGTGACTGTCCAGATATTGCACTGCTGTCTGCATTAATTGTTTGTGAAATTGGTTTGTAACATGGGTGTTTTAGGATGGATATCAAGGTATCATCTTTTACACTATCATCAAATTTCTTCCCTGTTCAGATGGCATCCGTTAAGAAGAATTGAGGAAACTATGCCCAATAAGAAAAGTCAGTTTAAGTATTTTTTATGCCAAGCGTTTGAGTGTTTAAGTGTTTTTTTATCAGCAACACAATTTATTTATTGATTAGATTAAAAAACCATATACAACAAGAAGTTGTGGGCAGAAAAAGAAACCCAAAAGAAAAACACCCACTACTTACAAATGAGCCCAGAACATAGATTGTCTTTCAGTGTTTAAGTGTATTTGATTGCTTAAACATGAGTATTAGTGTTTTTATTATTATAACTTAAAATAAGGGTAGTTTAGCCACTCTATGTATTTTAATTAATCAGGATTATTATTGTAATTGGCTTGGTTTAATATAAAATACCTACTTCTGACCTGGCTTGATTTAATATGTATTTTCTTCTTTCTCCTTGGACTGCACACTCTTTTTTCCTTATCTTTTTGCTTTCCTTTGATCAAATCTGCTACCAGTACTGTTTTTACATGGTATCAGAGTGCTGATCCTCCTCTTTTGGTCTTCTCTCTCTTCTTTTCTCCTACCATTGGATATTTCTGTGATTTGTATGGAGTTTGTTTCTATTCTCATTGTAGGCGTAAGGGGCATATTGTAGAGATGTGCAGATTGTTGAATAAAAGGACTGCTGGGTATGCTAGTCAGATGGTGACATATGATAATGGCAATGTTTTAAAATGTGGAGGTGTGACGCGAGGCATCCCACTACTTGGAGGTGTAAGCCTCCTTAAGAGGAGGGGAATGAGGAGGAAGAAGAGGAAGAAGGACCTTATCTTTCTCTCTCATTTTTTTTAATAAAGATCTTTTATATGAAGAAGAATGAAGATTCATAACACTAACTGAAAGGGGGGTCTTGTCGTGGTAATAGAAGCTGCAATCTATATATATATGACTTTATTGTTATAAGTTAACACAAGGATAGTTTAGTCATTCTATGTATTTTCATTAATTAGGGTTATTATTGTAATTGGCTTGATTTAATATAAAACACCTACTGCTGACCTGGGGATAATCCTTTTGACCTAATTGGCAGTCAGGCTTTCTTCTTTCTCCTTCAACTGTGCACACTTTTCTCTTTCCTTTGATCAAATCTGCTACCGGGTACTGTTTGCGCAATGGCAAAAGGAAAAAATCCAGGTATTTGATTGAAGACATACCTAAATCTGATACATCCAACTATTCAGAGTGAATACAAGAAGATGCACAAAACAGAACTTGGTTATGGAATAATATGGTACCCAAAATAAGTAGTATTCTTATCCTCCTTGACACCATGGAGAAAGTTTAGGATCATCAGGTCATCTGAAGAAGATGTATTCGGGGTCAGGTAATATTACCCAAATATATATAAGGTGTTTCAGAAGTTCCTTGGTATACAACAGGGAGACAAGAATATTGAGTATTGTTCTGAACTGTTTTCACTTAGAACCTGTAAAGAATGAGAGATGAAAGAGAGGAGAGAGAGAGAGAGAGGGAAGAAAAGAGGAGAATGTTTGGAGAGCAAAAAAATTTGGGCTGGCAGCGCCCCAATCTTATACAGTTATCTGATAGCATAACAATAAAAGAGAAGAAAATACAAGAACACCCCTGCGGCACTACCTAATAATAAAAAACAGAAAATAATGTACTAACAAAACTCCCCCTCAAGTTGGGCCGTATATATCAATCATGCCCAACTTGTCACATAGCTCATTATGCCAGACATGAAAGCCCCCTAGTAAGCACATCAGCCTTTGAATTGACATAGATTGCACACCTCACCCTTCTCAAGCTTTTCCCTTATAAAATGTTTGTCCACCTCTATATGTTTTTTCCTATCATGGAGTACAGGATTTGATGTAATGTTTATAGTTGCCTTGTTGTCACAGGCTCATAGTAAAGAGATATTAAGCTGTCAACATCAAACCCCAGCTCCCCTAATAGTTCTTAATCCAAAGGACTTCTGCAACCCCATGTGCCATAGCTACTTCAGAACTTGACCTTGCAACTACACTTTGCTTCTTGCTCCTCCAAGTCACCAGGTTTCCATCTATAAAGGTGCAATACCCACTGGTAGATTTTCTATCATCCACAGCACTTGCCCACTCTGCATCTATATAATCTTCCACTTTAGGTGATAATGCTTTCTAAACAACAACCCATCCCCTAAAAACTTTATCAAATACCTGAGGACACTTTCTGCAACTTCCAAGTGTGGTACTTTAGGGGAATGCATCTCAAGACCCCCACAAGTCCTACTAGAAATGCCGTATTCAGGATTAAATCCTATTAGAAAACCAAACACCCTACTCTTTTCTATTAGCTTCTGGTAAGTAGCAGCATCCTTAGTACTCTCCCAAACCACAGTCTCTAAATGGTCGATCTCCTGCCACAAGGTTTTAAGAGCTGAAAGGTAGACTGCAATAGGTCTCTCCCTACCTTGTGCCAATCACATGATTTCTCAACTAGTAAGCCCTAGCAACATTCTCACTCTGTGAGTAGGTCTCTACAACTCCATCCCAAATTTCCTTAGTTGTGTTAGCCCATAGAAAATTCTTGCTTATAATATAGAATCACAAAGCATGATCATCACCATGTAGTTCTTCTACATCCATCAGGAAGAGTTGGTTTCAAGTTTCTTTTCTTCACCAATTACATACCCCAATTTTCCATAAGCACCAACTGCTATCTTGGTTGATTGTGACCACTCCAAATAATTCGTACCATCCAACTTAACTGTAGTGATAGTACTTGCCCCAAAGGGATAACTAGCATTGCCTTCACCTAGTCCCAAGTCACTAGTATATATGTGTTCTACTCTACTCCCCTCCATAATTCCCAGAATAACACTTGAAACTTCGACTGTAAACAAGAAAGTAGCTCTAGAAACAGATTGATCCCCTTTGGAAACCTCAACAAAACTTCCGACAACAAAAAACCTTCACCCAAAGAGATTCATATCTTCCTGGGAGCAGGTAGAACCAAGAGAAGAGGCTGTCTCTCCCTCTAGAGACCTAAAAAATCAACAGAAATTGAACTGCCCCTTCAAAAAACATCAAGGAAAGCAAAAAAAGCCTGAGTGCCCTTCTCCGGTTCTTCCTCTGATTTCGATGATCAATCCAAGATTAGACACTAAAGGGTTCTAGATCCACCAAAAAATCCAAGAACTGGGCCCTTTTGAAGTCTTCAATCAGCTCTCTAACTCATCATGCAGTTGGCTGATCTAGGGCTGCATGGTAGAAACCCAAGAATCCTTAGAAAGTGCTCTGATACCAAGTAGAAAACTCAGAAAAATTAATCTGATTTATAACTGAAATAAAAGAGAAGAGAGAGAAAGGCTTCTTGGAGAGAAGAGAAGAGAAGAATGAGAAGAAGAGATGGGAGAAGCCAATAATCAATCTAGCCACCCCATCAATAGCTTATATACTCATTAAATAAAAACAAGTACAATGACTAATATGCCCTTATAGGGCAGCTGGTGTCAATAACATAAAACTGTTGGGCCTTCGGCCCAATAACACTAGTTTAAAAATAAAATAAAAGCTACTAAAACCTCAACAAAAAAATATAAACTACAAATTCAGAAACTGCTATCAGCTTACAAATCTGGATGCAGCCATTGGTTTGTCTTATCATAAATCATTAGACAAGTGGAGCCAGTACCTGAAGACTGTTCTAGAATAGTAGCAGAAATAGATGCCTATGAAGCAAATATAAGCCTAAATATTCTTCCTTAGAAATGGCAACAGTCTCACTCTTTTAACTGTGTTGTAAATGACTAAGCAGAAAATGATGAGTCGTCATGATGTGAAGCATAATTGGCATAACTATCCAGCTTTTTAAGAAGCCTAAAATAATCAACCGTGCCTTTTTCATGACCACAATGTGATCAAATCCTGAATCCATGTAGACATCTAGAATATCTAGTTGCATGATCCCCTGGGCCATAATGAGTGCAAAATCTAGTGTTTGTGGTCTACTCACGACCACCAAATCCCATGGTATCCACATTTCCTCCTATATCACATCCACATCTGAAAAGTGAAGACTCCAAGTTCACATGACCTGTACCACGTGAAACTGCAAGGGCTGATCCATCCATCAAGGGTGTAGTATATGCCTCCAACAATCTAGCTTGTTGGAGTCAGGTAAACACCTAATGTCTTTTCTCCTTGTTGTAGATTAAAGAAAGATTGAAAAAACTGATAAATACATGTTAAAATTGTTTTTTGAAAATAAGTCAATTCTGAACTCCATAACTGCACCATCTCAGATTTTCTATTCATGTAACAGAATTTATTCAACACCACAAAGTGGACTATGCCATTGACTAATTAACAACAGAAAAAATGGATGTAATAAGTAGCATTATAACATATAATATACCAAATATGTAAACATAATTAGTCATAGCTATGAACCCAAAAAACCATTCTTTCAAATTTTGCATTACATACCAACTTTGTGTAGGCCATAGCATCAATAACCTTCTTTATCATTGGCAGAGGCTGATAATGTCGAGAGGTATCTGCATCTCACCAAGTAATAGAAAAAGAAAAGGAAATGACAAATGACATCATAAAAATGATTTTCAGTGGAGCCAACTGCTATAAAATGTTCCAATTCGATATCAAATATGGCATCTCTCTCAAATTAATGTCTTTTGATTTGCATCCTAAGATGAATGCAATTGGACTCTTACCTCATGGTTGTCTGTTTGTGCATGCAAAGTCAACCAATTAAGCTATAGGCTCATGCTTGAACTTATAGCCTCATGGCTGGCTGATATTCAGTGTCAAAGGAAGTTTTCTTGGAAAAAAAGAAGTGACAAGGCATGAAGATCCAATATACTCAAAATTCATTTACCAATAATAATTTCTCCATGGATTATTTTCCCAGTCGATGTTAAATTAAGAAATGCTAAACTCAAGCATATAATGCTAATGGAAACCCAATCATAATGTCAAACCTTCCATCATTAACTAAGAGTCGTACACTGGGAAGAATTCAGAGCTACATGAGAATTAATTTTGTGATTTATAATATTAATGAAACAGCAAAAAGAAACTGTTAATATGATGTTATCTGCTTTTGCAACTAAACCAACCTACAATAAATAATATGGTCACTTAAGCTTCTGGGCTTTGCTATGCACATATATCAGAAAGGAACTCAGGCATAGAAGCAGTATTGGGATTCACAGGGAGAAAACACAAGGAATCAACTAAAATACCAATTCAACATGCATGCATAGAGCATCTCACCAATTAGAAGCCCTCGATAAGAGAACCTTGGCTGATCATCAATGGTACATGGGGCGGGAAAGACTTCAATTACCCTGCTTTTGAAGTTGAAATGGCACAATTGGCTAAATGTCTGAAAATTTTCATCCAAAAGGAAAATAAGGTAAGATAAAAATTGCTAAATTTTAAATGAGTGATAGGCACAAGAGAGGAGGAAATAACCTGCAATCCATGCAAAGCGCCATAAACTGTCTGTGTCTGCAATTGGTTCAAAACAGGATGAAGTGTTCAGAGAATAGGGGGAAATGTTGCAAACCATCAAAGGTCTATTTTACTCAAGGCTCAGTATGCAGAAGGAATTTCAGGGCATCCAATGGCAGCATTTTTTTGACATTGGATTCCACTTTTCTTAGTTTTTGTATACCTTATATACAGCATCTCAATGTACACCAGTGGATGTATATGCTGATAGTTTATATTAATACAATACTTCACCATTTCAAAAAAGAAAAAAAAAGGATCAGCACTCTTGCCTATTAATGCTTCCAATATGTCCCAATAAGTCATATGGATCATACCCAAGTGATCCAGTTCACAGATTTTTCGTTAACCATTCTTAGCACTCAATTCATAAAGCTTACTGTTAGCGTAGGGGTATTTTTGTCTTTTTACCTAGATTAATGTTGCTGATCTGTAATGTTGTGTTGGAACCAGTGCTCCTGACTTAAATAAGGGCACATATGTCTTTTCAATCAGTTTTAATAATATAAGTTTTGTCTGGCCGACTGGGAGAA